TCTACACCTTGTTATTTCAGATTCTCCAGCATCTGCAGTTCCTACTAACCCAGGAGAATATTACTCCTTCAAATGTGTCCTGCACAGTAAATAAGGATCTTGGGAGGCAGTTCAGGAGGTTAGCACTTGATTTATATTGCTAGATGGTATAATGGGAACTGTGTAACCTTTAGAGAAATAAAAGCTGGGAATACAGACCGCATATAATCTTTCCGGTGAATCACGGTTGGGGGCAGGTGGTGATAGGTGATATAGTAGCAGAATGCTTGTGTTATTGGACAAACAATTTAGACGCTCAGACCCATAATCTGGAGATATGAATTAAATTTTTACCACAGCATCTGAAAAATTAAATAAATCCTCTGGAATAAAACAAAACTAGTACCAGTTATGGCGACCACGAAATTACCGGTAAAAGCACATCTGTTTCCCATTTAGGGAAGAACATCTTCTGCCCTTATCTAACCTGGTCTATATGTGTCTTCAGAGTAATATGATTATTAGAATAGAATTAGATTTTATTGTCACTACCCTTAACTACCCTTTGAAATGGCCTTGTAAACCACTTAGTTAAAGAGGGATCGACAATAAATGCTGACGTTGCCAGTAAGCATAATCCATGATGTTGCCATAATCCATGAATAAGAAAAATTGGACCAAGGCACCCAGGCATTTTCAGTATCCATTTGAAATCAAATACTTTTCGCATTTCCATAATGAATTTCTATGTTCACATTTATAATGGAATTGACCTTGCAAATTTGCTATCCTGTAATTATTTCCTGCTGCCAATGGTGGCACTGCAGGGGCAAGTTTCATTACAACATTGTAATGTTTACATAGCCAATTTGCATTACACATATGAACAGAGGAATTTATAATGATAAACATTGACAGAAAAGGTGCATGTTGCAGTTATACTTTCAGATTATCTTTACAATATTGAAGATTTGCCAATGAGCATGACAGATATAGTAACTACCATGAAGTAGATTTTTATATGGATGTAATATAATCTCAATCTATAATATTTCCTACCATTTAGAAACATTAATTTGCTGAATGTAAGTGAAGCAGAGAATATTCACCAATCACAAATAATATTTTTGGATCTTCTTGTCTGTTAATAGTTTACTGGTAGTCTTCATGTTAGTAGATTTCTAACATTGAAATTCTGCAAAAATGTCAAGTTTATAGCATTATACATGTTAAAATATCTCCTATAAATCAATAATTAACAGTCAGCTCCCAATGGCTTAGATGATAAGTATATTTCTCATTTGGTTTTGAGCCATATACTTAAGGCATGACTAAGGTTGTATTTGTAACCTGGGTGATTACAAGTAGGGTAGGAGTTAGATCCTAGATCCCATGGCTCTGTTGGACAAGCATCAAGCAGACTCCCACTCCTCTTGACTATTCTGCAAGAAAGTGGAAATTGGAAAAGTGATGCATGGCTGTGGACAACTATGGATTTTACCCAAGACTGAACCAGTATGCACATTTGAGGACAAAACAGCTCCCAAATAAGCAGCAGTGAATTTCAATGTATTAGATTGTGATGAAACAGTGCTGTGGTATGTTATATGACTTAATAACTCTGTTAAAATACAAAGGGTTAGAAACAGAGTAAATCTTTCTCTACACTGTCTCACGCTACCTGTATGGCAGGTACAGCGCCAGAGTGATAAAACATAAATTGTCTCTGTCCCATCAGCTCTCCGAGGGCAGGTACAGCACTGAGTAGATACAAAGTAAAGTTTCCTGTACACATCCCATCAAACATTCTTAGGGCAACTATAGCACAGAGTAATTTACAGAGTGAAGCTCACGCTAAACTGCCTCCACCAAACACTTCCAGATCAGGGACAGCACAGAGCCAGACACACAGCAAAGTTTCCTCTACTCTTTGAAAGTAAAGCTTACTCTATACCGTTCCCATCAAATACTCCTAGCACAGGTCCAGAATGGTGAGCTAAAGAGTAAAGCTCTGTTTACATTGTCCCCATCAATCACTCCCAGGGCAGGTACAGCACAGGGTTAAATACAGAGTAAAGTTCCCTTTACATTGTCCCATGGACCCACAGACTATATGTTGATACTTCATACCTAATTTTACTCCAGATAAATTACAAAGCTACTGACAGATATTTATTGTTTAGGGGATAAGGTAGTTGCGAATGTGTGGAAGCCAGACTGCAAAGTTTAATTCCTCTGCTTTGTTGAGATGGGTGATGGTAAAAAGAGAGCAATCTCAAACAATTATTGAAAAGTGTAGAATTTGTACAGAGCCTGACAGTAGATAATACTGACCAGTTGTCTTGATCACATCACTAGTCAAAAGTATATGCATATTAGCTGAGCTAGGTTCCTATGAGTAATTGTGCCTCTGATTCTGGGTCTGTTGATTTGTGCAATGATGATGTGAAATTGTAAACTCACATAAAGAATATAAAGATCTATTTATTATTTGACTGAAGGTAATAAGGGGAAACTTTCCCCAATTTATTATACCAAAAAACAACCTTTATCTGCATAGTCATCTGCTTGTCTATCTCTCAATTTATCTACCTACCCGCATGTGATATAAATATTTCCCTTTACACACATGAATCCACCACTTTCTAATTGTATGTGTGTTGCTTTGACACTTTTTTTAGATGCCTGACTAACAGGTGAATTTAGAAGAAGTTTTTAAGTGAAATGATCCCTTAAAATGTAACAGAGATGACAATATAGGCTTATTCAAAATACAAGAGGGTTCCATGATGTGAGAGGTAGGATAATCCTTAATGGCCTTTTTAAGCCAATCTTTCATGGGATATGGGTGTCACTGGCAAGGGTGGCATTTGTTGCTTGTCCCTAATTGCCCTTGAACCAAACAGCTTACTGGGCCATTTCTGAGGAGAGTTAGGAGTCAACCACATTGCTCTGGGTCTGGAGTCACACAAACGTCAGATTTCCTTCTTCTCTAGAGATGGGGCAGTGAAGGAGATAAGTTTCCAGAGCAATTGATGGTTGTTATGGTCTTCATTACTCATATTGTAATTATGATTAAGAATGTTATTAAATTTAAATTCCTTCAGTTGTTGTGATGGCATTGAACCCAAGTGCCCAGAACATTAGCCTCAGCTTACAGATGACTGGTCCAGTGACGTTATCCCTATGTCATTTTCTTCCCTGCCTCTCACTTTTCTCAACCTTTCTTCCTTTTTACTTCTCTTCAGTTTCTCTTTCTTAGAGTTTTATTTCACTTCTCTCTGTCCTCATTCCACTTCCCTCTTTTGTGGGCTTTTATTTCTCTCCCTTTTCTCAAATGTTCTCTTGACTAACTGCTGGAGCACTCATGTCTCACACAACCCCTGACATCCTGTGCTATCTTACAGTGACATCACACAAATTACTTTCTGTATTCTAATACAAATTTAATACAGTTATTAAATAAATATTCTCATTAAAAATTATTTTACACAATTCTCCAAAAAAAATGAATACAAAAGACATTATGCCAGTTTCTTGGCAACAATACAGTGTTGTACTAAAATAGGTAAGAAAGAAAATGGAGAAATATTAACAAGACAGTTTGAGGTTATAATTGTTTGCAATGTCTGTTCTAAGATTCAGTGAATGCAGTTGGACAATGAATGACTGGTAACAACATTGAGGGATAAACTCAAGTCCAGCAGATTTTTTTTTGTAAATATCTTGGTGATTCATTCCCCAGGACATCACTCTCAAGTGAAGACATTTCCAAAGCAGCATTTGAAGAAGACCATGGGAAAATAAAAGTGAACCTTCCATCTTTCATTCTTCCACTCTAGCTAGCTAACTAACTGATTATATACAACTTTAAATCAGTCTCAAGCTCTCGTCTCAACTCAGGAATCGAACAGCCCAGCAGCTCAGGTTTGGAATGATTTCCCTTTCCCTGTCACGGAATTCTTGTGTGTTCCTGTCCTTCTCTTGCTCTAAAAATTATTTAAACTTTACTTCAGACTGAATTATTTTCCCAAACGCCGGGTGATGTAGTCCCATCAGTTGGAGTTGAATAGAAAAATAAAGCATCTCATTTATTTTAAAGAAAAAGACAGAGTGGGTTCATCCATTGTCTGGAGTAAAGGTCAGTGGAGAGAGAGGTGACCTTGGGACGGTGGCTGTTTCTACCGAGGCCTGGAGTGTCTGGTGCGTTTAGTCCTGCTGGGGAAAGGATAGTTGATGAACTCGAAGTGTCTGTGGCTGTCCAAAGAGGACAGGTGACCCTTGGGTAATCTCTTCATGAAATGCACCTCCCTCTGGTGCTGCCTGGTCTTCGACCCTTTCCTGGGTCTCCCTTTCCGGGTGAAAGCCATGAACCATCCTTCGTACTTGGCGTTCTGCAGAGCCGTGTAGTTATTCTCCAACACGATTTCAGTGAAGACACAGTCTTTGCTCTTGCCGCTTCGCTGCACAAAGAAACAGAAGACTGAGTAAACGTCCCATCCAGACTAACAGCCCCTGCTCACCGGCTCATTTCCAATTTGTGGGCGTTGCATGATTTTTACGCTATATATAATTCAGATAAGAATAAATTTTCCTTTAAAGAATATTTAACATGCCCAGAGACTGTGATCGATCAGCGAGGGAGACTGTAGACTACTAGCATCACGTTATTGTCTTCAGGCCTGGAAAACGCACGGATTACTAAAAGAACAATGGAAAGATTCGATGAGAGGAGGGGAGAAAGGGTGGAAAAAGGACAGCAAAGAAAAGAGATGAAAGAGGGTAAATGCAGAGACAGAAGTGAGAAAAAAAATTAAGAGAAAAGGGGACGGAAGATTATTTTGAAGAACAGGCAGACTTCAAAGTATTTGTAACCTCGCTGTGTTTAGGGTTTGCTGTCTTGATTCCTAAGAGGTGAGTGGAGAGGACGGCAGGGTAAGTTTGTGCAATGTACAAACACTAGTGACCCGTGAAGTATAGAACCAGCGGCCCCTCCGTGTATCAGTTTCCATCTGCGGTTATAGCCCCTAACTCTCCCAGTATAGCCCTCCCCAGGCCATGTGTACGGTCCAGTCCTGGGCACTGTGAATTACAACTTGTCACAAGGAATAATATCAGCTTGCCAGCAGACAGATGGCGGAGGCGGCGGGGGCGCGCCGCCCCTGGATCTCGGAGCTTGCTGTTGGTCGCACCGAAGCTGCCAGCAGCCGGCACTCAGAGGCTCCATGCGACACAGAATTAGACAAGTGGAAAAGGAAAGCGGCAGGCTGGCCTGCCCGCTCCAAATCGAACACAAACCTTCAAATCCACCTTCAGGTCTCAGCAGCAGGCGATAGGAGTCAGCTTCCTTCAAATGCTCATGTCCCTTAATATTTAATCCATTCCAAAAACAGATGGGTCATATCATTAAAGCTAGCCAGACATTAGATCCGTTATTTTAGCCATGTAACTGCCCAGCTATTGGAACTATATAATAACCAATATAAAATGGTCTTATAATTATTATATAGCGGTATTGTCATCTACGTGTATGATTTTTAAAAAATATCTATGCATCATGTTAATAGATTATGCCCTCCCTAATGACATTGTGGGTCTATCTATAGCACATGGACAGTAGTGGTTCAAGAAGGCAGCTTACCACCACTTTCTCAGGCGGCATGGGCAATAAATTCTGGGCCAGCCAGTGATATCAAAGTGAATGAAAAATAGATAATACGAGAAGCATTATAACTAAGCTGTTTAGAAGTTTAAAGGGTAGGCAGAATGAATCCATTGATGGGGAACAGGGGTTTCTAATCTCCCGTGATGGGAATGTCTCCTCTTGGCCGGGATCTATCGGCTGTTCCCACAGTTTGGGAATATCCCACATTCCTCAGGCAGCGACAGGGCCACAGACTCGCCAGCAGGGTCCACATTTCACATTTTGTCGAACACAAAAAACGACAAATAAGGGAGCACGAATTCTATTCTGCGGGCATCAAGAAGTCAGGCTGATATTCCTATTAGGGCAAGGGTTAGAATCGCCGGGAGCATCGTCGATCCATCTCAGAGCGAGAGATGGGGACGGAGTTGGGAGCACGACGGGGCAAGGATGGCTTTCAATGCAAAAGGCGAGCCGCGTTTTCTTTAATCAATTACTTTAGCGGAGCTTTCTGCTGAGAACAGGTAGAAAGCATGCGAATTAGTCTAAAAATCTAACACTTCCAGGGGTTTGAAAAGTTGGCCTTCTGAAGTAAGCAGAGTAACTTTGCACCCTTCTTCCAACTGTTGCATCGAAATGTAACCTCTCTCACCATTTTCCACAACTTCTGTCTTCACTCCGATCTATTTTAATCACTTGCTTTCTCTCTATTGCTGTTTATGTTCCCTTTGTCTTTCTTTCTTATCAGAATCTCAACTTGTGTCTACTTCTCAGTCTCGCTCATTAACGTATCCCGTCCATTTACTCACTATTACATTTTATTCCTGTTTCCATTTCTACCACCATCTCGCTAGTTATTTCTTTATCTGTCCCTGCTTCTATTTTGCCCTCTTTCTATTCCTTCATCTGTTTCTCTCTCCTCCTATGACTGTAAACTCGCCTCTCACTAATTTTCTACGTCTTTCTGTTTTCTGCTCCTTTCCATGTGCCTCGACGCCCATTTGTAAGACATTTAACACTTTTGCTCCGAAACTTTCCCGGCCAATCCCATTAATCCTTACCTTGCCGATCAGTTTTCCCCGCTTGTTCATGCAGATGTAAAAGCCAGACTCCGCTCCCTTAATGCGGACTCTGCTTCCGAAGGTATCTGTCTCCACAATCAGCTTGGCTGCATTGGAAAGAAAGGGGTGCAGGACTGAGTGAGTGATCGGTAACTTTCTGTTATTTATACAATTCACCAAGCAAGCGTTGTATTCTCAATCCATTTCCGCGTTGGTACTGCACAGTATGATGGGTTATTTCTAACAGCCCCAGAAAAAGAAAACGTTTTAGACTCGCAAAAAAAAAAAGAATCAGAGAGGAGAAGATGAGAATTTCTGCACTCAATGTTACTCCAGGAGAATGGAATACTTTTTCTAATCTGTCTACCAGGGAACATCAAACTCTCCCAGGACAGGTACAGCTCAGTGTTAGATACGGAGTAAAGCTGTTTCCTTCAAATACTCCCAGGACAGATATAGCAGGGGTTAGTCAGAGAGTAAAACTCCCTCTACACTGTCCCCAAACACACTCCGGAGGAGAACAGTACTGTGTTAGATACAGAGTTAAGCTCCCTCACTGTCACCCGTAATTTTTCTCAGATCCAACCTCAGCTTTTCAGATGTGGCACTTCATCAAATGGTGTACAGTACCTATACAGCTAACACCTCTATTCTCATACAGATGTCACTTGATTTGCCAAGTGTTTCCAGAAATTTCTGTTTCTGTTTTGAGTTATCTCAGGCTCTTTTCATTTTTGACCATTGGAGTCATCAATGTGAAACAGAACTGGACCCAGATTCCAGAGCTGAAAACATAGTCTGGCAGTATGTGGTACAACTAAGGAACATAAGGCTCTTCAAGTTCTCATCTTCTTAAACAATTTAAATATGTACCATGGGGCCTTCAGGCCATTTGTCATCATGTCACTTAAAATGCTGGATAAACTTGACAAGTTAGATGCTTGAGGATATTTACCTTGATGAGAGAGTCTGGAAGTAAAGGCCACCATTTCAGAATACATGGTGTGTCCACCAGAGTCTGAGATTAGGGAAATTTATTCAAGGGATGGTGAATTTCTTAAATTCTTTCCATCAGAGAAGAGTGGATGTTCAGTCATTGTGTACACTGGAGACTGAGATTCTTAGATGCTTAGACACTTAGTGAATTAAGGAATGAGAGGAAAGGACAGGAGGATGGATTGAAGCAGATGGATCAATGACAATCTCATTGCATGACTTAGCAGGCTCAATGAACCAAAATACTTGACTTCTACTTTTGTTCCTTTGTTCTTATATAAGGCTTAAATCCACATTCTTATGAAGTCCCATGTACCCCAAACTTCTAATGCTAACAGCACTAGGAGGGGGAAGTAATCAATCTTTCCAAACAAGGGAAGCAGCAAATAAAAATACAGGACTAGAAACAAGTTGTTCTCCTCTTTGGCGTTGATGTTGTTAAGACTTGGGTGACAACATTTGAACACCCCTAGTAATAACACATCAAGGATTCAAAGTGTTTAAAAAACAGTAGCACACACCAGGCAGATTGTTACCCAGTGCTATACAAAATAAAAGATTTGAATATTTTATTATTTGCATTGCATCTTTCACAAACCTCAATGTCCCAAAGCACATTACAACAAATAATATGCTTTGAAGTGTTGTCACTGCCCTAATTTAGGAGGCACAGCAACCAACTTTACACATAGCAAGGTCCAACAAACAGTAGAAGGAAGAGACCAAACAATCTGAATATTGAGACAACAAGGTGCAGGGCTGGATGAACACAGCAGGCCAAGCAGCATCATAGGAGCAGAGAAGAGGATCTTGATTGAAGAATGAATATTGACCAGAATACTAAAGAAGGAAGCTTCAGCAATTTATCAGTCAGAAGGGCATCCTTGAAATAGTCTTCAACAATTGAGAGCTATGGAGTTCTCCAGTGACCTGAGTTTCAGATTTAGTGTTGCTTCATCTCTTGTTCCCCTCCTTGAAGCAGTCAGTTGACTTGTTGGGATATCCTGGTTGGTTGTCACCATTACCACCTAGGTGAATAGCTGAATGTTTAACCATTTAGATGCTTGTTATAAGGTGCACTGACAGAGCTGAGCCTGGTTTTTCTTGATGTCCACACAAGCTCCATCTGACACCAACTAACTGAACAACTGACAATCCAACCGAGGACTCTCTAAAGCAAAGCATTGCAGATGCTACAAATCTGAAACAAAGCTTAAATTGCTGGAAATATTCAATGACATCTGTTGAAAACCTTTCATTGAGCTGAGAAATTAATTCTGCTTCTTTCTCCACACAGATGCTTCCTGGCCTGCAAAGCATTTCTAGCAGTTTCTGCTTCAATTTAGAATTTTTTTAGATCTGTGTGTCACAGAGTCAGTGTCTTTACCACAACACACTGGGAGATCAGGGTTAACAGTTGTAACTGCAGTAATAGAAAATAGGCTGTATAGTTGCACTAATTATTATGTCAATGATTGCTGGGATTTGAACCTTGCCTCAGTAGATATGTGGCTTGTTTCTCATCAACACAAGTTGTGGCTTCAAGTACCAGTCCAAGGAGTAATCATGTAATTCTAGGCTAATACTGCCACTGCAGTACTAGGGAGGTGCCATCATTTGGATGAGATTGCAAGAATTAGGAACAGGTTTTAGCTGTTTGGCACTTGAGCCTGCTCCACCATTTATTAGGCTAAAGGCTAATCTGACACACTTCATGTCTACTTTCTTGTCCTTTCCCCATAACCATCAATTCCCCTCCTGATAGATGTTAAACCAAGAGGCCATCTTCCCTCAGGGTTTAAGCATTCCAATAATGGTATCTGAATAAAAACAGGGGAGTTCTGCACGGCGTCTTGGCCCATATTGTTCATTCATCCACATTATTATAACAGATTACACAATCCTTATCACATTGGTGGTTGTGGAAGCCGAGTACAAATTGGCTGCTGCATTTCCTAAATTGCAACAATTACCTTACTTCTAAAGAAGTGTTTAATTGACTGCAAAGTGCTTTGGGAAGTTAAGAAGGATACAAACTGACAGCAAATTCTTCCTTTCTTATTGGTGATTTGGACTAAAGTATAATTGGCTTTAAAAAGAATGATCCTGGATCTGATTTAACTCTAAACTGAGAGTAGTCGTCCAGCATCTATTATAGAGAATCTATAATAGAGTGAGATGTACAGCACAGAAACACACCCTTCAGTCCATCTCATCTGCACCAACCAGATATCCTAAACTGATCTAGTCCCATTTGCCAGCATTTGGCCCACATCCCTCTAACCTTTCCTATTCATTTACCTACCCAGATGCCTTTTAAATGTTGTAATTTAGAGTATAACAGCTACTATACTTATTACAGAGAAAGGCAATCCCTATGTGTTTTGTAGGCAATTATTGCCTTTGTATAGGGATTAAATCCATAATATATTTCAGCAGTTCAGGTGTGGTTATAACTCAAGCAGCAAGATCCCAGGTATGTGTAGGTATGTGGTATGGACAAGGTGGCTTGAGCTTTGCAGCTCAAAATTCAAATAACTTCCAATCATCATTATCTTGGTTGTGAAGGGCTACTTGAATAATTGAGATTTATCATTAAAAAAAAACAAACAATTGAATGAATGAGTTTTCCTTCCATTCCCCAGTTTCTCTCTTAAGACCCTGATTCTTTCTCAACCAGAAGCATTGTTTGGGTACTTTACCCCAAGTGACTATTTTTCTTGCTTGATTATGCTGGTTCTAATTATGTCATTACCAAGTTTAACCTTCTTCTAACATCTGAAAACACACACTAAGTGACAGGGAACACTTGATATTGGTCAATGGTGGATCTTGCAACATGATAATTCCTCCTGTGTACACCCAGAGCACTAAAGTTAACTTGCAGTCATCTAACACTACATCAGTTATCTAAATTATCTAATTGAACTATGAATCAAATCTGCCACCTTCCTTGTCTGTGCACAAGGTAATGATCATTTAGAAATTCACAACGGAAGAGGGCCATTTGTTCCATCATGACTGCTAGCTACATGAAAAAAGCCAATTAGTGCCAATCCCCCATACTGCTCCCAAAGATCTACTGATTTTACCTTTCAATTCCTGACCAAATATATATTTTTAAAACTCCTGTCTTCAATATCTTTGAGCTAGAGGAATGATAGAATTACTATTATTTAGATTCAAAGAATGAAAAGCAACCAATTCTTTGCATCAGGCAATATTCCACCCAATAATGCAGTGTCCTACCCAATGATACAATATCCCTCTCACCAAAAGAATACTGCCTAATGATACAGTTTCCTGCTCAGTAGGACAGTATTCCTCTCAATGATGCAATATTCTATTCAATAATGCATTATTACCCCACCCAAGATATTCTCATTAAGTGTATTCCATCCAAAGATACAGCATCACTCTCAATGATATATCCTCCTGTCCAATGATACACTACCCCATACACTGATACAGTATCTCACCCATTGATATAGAATCTCAACAGTGTAGGATCCTTCCCAATTTATCAAATCCAATGATACTATATCTTTCAAAAGGACATTATCCTGCCCAAATGACAATATCCAATCCAATGATAATATCCTACTTACAATGTCCAATCATACGGTATCTTACTGCCTGAACACTGATGCTAATGACGGATTTTAACTACAAGGTGCCAGGCATTGTCTAATTGTTTATGCCATTTTATGTAGGCGGATTCTTATGTTCATTATTATTAGCAGGTCTCATTTGTGGAAGGAGACACCCATTAGGACAGCAGAAACACTTCAGGGATATCCTCAACGCTCCCTGATGTGGTCAAATATTCCCATTGATCACATTTTTCATTTCTAATAACTTTACCTGAACAATCAACCCAATTACTTATCCCACTTCATGTAAAATAAACATTCTGATATTAGTCCTTAATTGCCTGAAATAGTAGCAATGTATCTGTAACTGACTAAAACAGAGATGGCTCATTCAGAAGGCACCAAACACATCAAGAGAATTCATCAGAAACATGCAACATTGGAGTTAAGGCATTGGTGAAAATACACAAAACTTTCAGTTTATCCAACATCCAAGTGCCATCTGCCCTGAATGTGGC